GGAGAACCTTGGGATCTCCTTCCAATGGTTTTGGAGCAGGAGCTGAGGCCATCTGTTTAAAAAATGCTTTGTAATTTGCCCAGTTCTAGCCCAGAGCTACTTTTTCCCCCTCCTGTAAGCATTCATAATGAACCTTTATCCTTTATTTTCTGTTTGAACTTCCTCTTGCTCTGGCCAGTGTTTCTCTTCTTCTGGCCGAGTGCTGCATAAATCTACAGTTTCAGTGATTCCTTCCATTTCCTAGTCCTTGGAGTATCCTTAGACTATTCAGGTTTTCTAAAGGCTTTCAATGCCAACACTAAAAGAAAAATAAAAGCAAAGCAGAGCTCCATCCTGTGCCACCATGGGAACCAGACTCTTCCATCCTGGCATTCAGTCCCTGCAGTAAGGAGTAGAGTCTTAAGAAGCTGTAGGAGGAGCTAGAAAATGAGAGCACAGATGCTCCAGACTCATTGAGTGGACCAGGACTTGTTCCTGCTGCTTGCCCTTGCCAGCACCAGTATTGTATCTGTGTGACAAGTTACCTGTAATCATGCCAGTTTGGATGGAAGAGAAAGGGAGTTAAGGACCTTGAAGGGAGCCACTCAAAAGTTACTGAGAGCAAAGAAAGGAAACCCAAGTATACAGTAGGGGCTATGCCTGAGTGTTTTCTGGTAGCTTTGTTGGCCAAATCTTAAGGTCTGCTGTGTGTGACACACAACTGACGGCATCTGAACATTGATATAAGGGCCTCATAGTATTCAGCATCTTGGTCGATTATGCCAAAAGATGTTATTTGTGGCATTTTATTCCAAATTCTGTTTACTCAACAGGATTCAATTTCTGATTTTTAGGGGGAAGTGATATTGAACCAAATACATTCATTTTCTTACTCATTATTTTCTTTTTCTGTATGCACATACTTAGGACAAAGTGCAGAAACTGTAACTGGGGATCTTTAGGCCAAGAGTCAGAGCTCCAGAAGCCTAAATAGCTCTTCACCTCCATTTACAGACAAATTAGAGAGCAGTCATGGAAAAACAGAGGGCAGAGAGAGATATAATATGATCTAGTGTCACCAAGTCCATTTTAGGAATGCTTACATGATGTTCAGATTCACTAGTGGACTAGGGGTATGCATAGCCAAGCAATCCTTGTCAACGAATGGTTCTCCATGATTACCTCAGTTCCAGTCTCTCAAGCTGTTTCCATAAATTGCTAATGGTTGACATCACAGATGGAGACCCTCTGGTTTCTGCACACTGACTACTTTAGGTCCAGAGTGCCATCTCACCTTCATGGACAATTGCCTATGTTTGGATGTATGTGTGGTGAGGGTAGAGGATGGGAGAATATCTCCTAGAGATCTTGCTCTTCTTGGAATCCAAGGTGACTAGGTTTAGGAGGCTGACTTAACTATGTGACTTCAGCCTCAAAGGATGACGTATGTTAGGTAGGTAGACTCAAGTAGGAATATGACCTGACCCAAAATAAAGGAGACAGACACCAAAGGAAAGCTGAAATGCCAGGTGTTCATCTTTCCTTTTATTTTCTATGGGGCCACCCAACTGAGATCTCAAAACTATGGTAAAGGCAGCTTCTATGAGCTCTCATGATAGGCTCTTCTACTGTCCTTGCATTCTTACAAGCTAGGAGCAAAAGAAACAAATTAAAAGTCTCCTGTGGAAACTTAAAGAGACACACTGCAGTAGTCTGCTGATTCCCAATGCCAGCACATAGCTGTCATTCCTAGCATGTATGACACCTAGTATCTGATTCCCTTTCGGTGGGGAAAGCATGTTTTAAAGGAATGACAAGAAAAATTTTTTGCAGGTTTGGATTCCTGGCTTTTATATGATGCAGTAATAACAACAGAATTGAGTACTGAGAGATCTGCACTTGTACTAGTAAAACTAGCTCTGCAAAACTAAGAGGCCAGGTTTCTTTATTCCTTCATTCGTTCAGTCATTTGTTTATTCCTTCTTTTCTTTTACATCCTTACTGCAGTTTCCTCCCTCCTCTCCTCCTAAACCCTCCTCACCCATCTCCTTTGTCCCCCCCCCATTTACTCCTATTTTGTTTCTATTCAGAAAAAGGCAGGCCTTCCATGGATATCAACAAAACATGGCATATCAAGTTGTAGTTAGACTAAGCACTTTGCCTTATATTAAGGCTGAGCAAGGCTACTCAATATGAGGAATAAGGTCCCAAAAGCCAGCACAAAAGAGTCAGAGACATCTCTTGTTCCACTGTTAGGCATTCCTCAAGAAGACCAAGCTCTACAACTGTCAGATATCTGCATAGGTCCTAGGTAGTCCCATGTAGGCTCTCTGGTTGTGGGTTCAGTCTCTGTGAGCTCGTATAGGCCCTGGTTAGTTGATTCTAAGGGTTTTCTTGTGACACCCTTAGCCAGGGTTTTTACATGTAAGAGATGTGTCCTGCTTTGACAAGGTCTACAGGTAAGGCCAGGCCAGGTGGATACCTTTCTGTTTCACATTAAACCGATAATACACTGCCACTCCTGTACACTAAGGCATGCTGGAACTCAGTTCCTCCCTGTTACTGCTCAAAACTCTATTATCATTTGTTTGCATAATGGTGTACACACAGTCCCTCAAGTTGGGAAGAAAAAAATATTTTCTTCTTATTCAGTATCCACTTGTTTCATGTAAGAATGGACTAGAAAGCTAGAGAAAAAATGCCTGGTGATGGGTCGAGTACCCTAAGTTAGAGTTGCAGTCACACTGTGAAGTAATGCATGGGCTAGCCTCAGGTCAACAAGTTTTAACTATCATAGTCAACAAATGGACTACTTCAGACTGTAGTGTAGAATGGAAGGAGGAGAGAGAAAGTTGGGATTTTGTTTTCTTTTTCTTTACTGTTTGTTCAGGGATGTGTGTGTGTGTGTGTGTGTGTGTGTGTGTGTGTTTCCCTGTTATTAAATTTGAAAATTATAGAAACTTAAGGCAAGTTTGATTGAGGCCAACTCTCTTCTGTATGTTTTAACTGAAATTGATACATTCCCTTACATTTTGCTCTTATATTTTAGCTCTTTGGAAGACTCAAATATTCTGAGATACATTTTGTTAACATATGCAGATCAGGATTGTTTGTACATTGGGCCCAACTTAAAGTTACACACCAGAGGCCCCTCCATTAAGCATATTCTCTCCCTGAGTAAGAATGGAAAAAAAACCCTGAATGTCAGGGAATTATCTAGAGAATGACCTTTTGGCTGTTTCCTCTCCTAACAGTGAAGAGAACTGTTGTTTGTAGATGGAGTGAATGACCTTAAGCATACAGCCACCATCCTTATCTAAGTCACTACTTTGTACTTGCTTTTCTTCTTTCCCTTACAGCAATTCAATACAATCAGAGGAATTGATTCTCCTCAGAATTTGAAGTTTTATTTTAATGTTCATACTGAGCAATCATTGAAAAAAAATTACCTTAAATAGAGAATAAGTTTCCAGGGATAGATATAAACTATCATATCATAATGCATATCATAAACATTATAGTTATTTGTGTATTTCCACTATAAAGCAGTAAACATACTTAAATATTTGTGCATATGCCATTTCAGAATTCCTTTTGATAAGTAATGAATTCAGTGTCTTTATCCAATAAAATAAAAACCAAAAAAATGGAAAAACATACCAAATATTTGAATTTTTTAAAAATGTTTCTTTAAAAATAAACTCTAGCCAATGTAGTATTGCCTAAAAACAATGCGTCCCCACCAATCAGGTGTCTCTTACTACTAAAATGAATTAATACATTGATGTATTTCAGTCTCTTATTATATGATTAAGACAAAACCAGGATTCTAAGTCCATTGATCATGAACTGGAGAAAACAGCACTTCAATATAAACAGAGCATTTATCCTCAGTTTTGTCTTCATATTACTACAGTCATATTGCTTTAGTTTTACAGTATTTTTTGTTCAAATGACCCCTGCATAATGTAAAGTGAACTAAACAGATAGAGAATGTAAGGATGAGGCCAGAATTTCAGTCAATACATTTAACAACTAAAGTGTTTTAATCAGTATTAAAATCTTGCTTTGGCCTGGAGTTCCTAAGACTGCTTTAACTTCCATTTCAGTCCTATCTACCAACTCCTATGTCTCAAACAGTCTAGAGGTGCTCAATATTACTCTGTTTAAACCCAGTACACTCAAATGGGATACACATATTAAATATATTTAAAAGTCATATGTGTGTTTATGCATATATGTACAAACATGAAAACATATATTAAAAATAAAACTATATGACTATTATGTAACTATATTAAAACACAAGGAAATTTTAGCTAGACATTAACCTTAATAACAGTCAGCCTGGTATAATGCACTTCTTTTGCAATGGTCACTTTTTCTACTCACCATATTTTCAGCAGCATCTTAGTAGATTATAGCAAACTGTCATTAATAATAAATCTTGAACTGGTAATAAATAAACCAAATAAATGATAGATATTAGTTGCAAAAATCTATGTTGTACGTATTATCCTAAGGAAGTTGTTAGAAGCATTCAACACCAAGGGGGCAATGAAAATAGCTCATTTGACAGAAGTAGAGTAACTCTTGGTGAAATTTCATAGCGATTGCCAATGGGCATTCTTTCAAAGAGATCCAAATCAATATATAGAAATAAAGCCTTTTAGAATCACTAAAAAAATAAAAATAAAAAGCTTTTAAAATTTGCCTGGAAGGATATTGCCAGCAACCTGTGGTGACAATACAGCTCGCTTTACTGGTGCATTGAAACACCCTTTCTTTGCTCAGGACCTGACAGTGTTGCTGCAATTTTGTCTCACATCTTGTAAATGCTGCCAATGGGAGGGAACCCATTCCCCTGTGGTTTTGCTTTTCCCTTTGAATGACAGTGGTGGAGCACTTGCATGATATGTTTGGTGCCTTGCATGAGGAAGACATGCAAAGGCAAGGTCCAGTCTGCATGCTGCTTAATGAATGTTTTTCCTTTTCTCTCCTTCCTTGTCATGTGCTTTCAGAAGACAACAATGTGGAAGGTGGGTGCTTTCTACTTTATTTTCCAACTCCTCTTTGCTTTTTATTTCTCAGTATTGATAGAGTACATCTTGAATATAGACGGTAAGTTGCCTTTACTGATCATCTGTTGTTTCTAGTTGAGTATCATTTTGCATATAGAACACATATGCACCCTCAACCCCTCTTTTCCAGTGATTAAAACCCCTTCACTATTCCTTGCAGTGCCTGATACATTTCAGCAGCCCATGTGACCCATAGAATACCTAATTCAGTGTTCTGTATGGAAAAATGATACAGTGCTACTTCTTTTATTTTTATTTTTAAAGGACGTGTTTCTTTGCAGTTTCCAACACAGTGCATGATTCTGTCTGCATTTTTTTTGAGCAAAGTAGTTTTTCTTTTCTGTTGGATGTGTTTACCATTCTGTCATTTTAACCTCCTTGGTTTGTTTCAAATGATTCAAATTATAAAAGAACATAGATCAAACCCTGAGAATAAGAAAGAAGCATAAATTTAGATTGAAATACAAGTCATTGCCAGTGGAAACGAAAGCTCACAGTTCTGCCATGAGATCATAGGTAAGTACATTAATAACATCAGTGTGTATTAAAACTAGAATGACTGATTCAAGTTTTCTCAGCTTAACTCAGCCATGGAATTTTGAGAAAATTGCACATTTTACCATTGGTTCCTACAAACATATTTCAACATTTTCTTGTTAAAGAACTTGAATGAAGTAGTCACAATGCTACCAACCAAATCTTGAAATAATAACCACAAGAAGCATTCACTGCCGCAGATGAAAAATAGGAAGAGCAAAGTTTCTCATTATTTCCTGCACGTGTTTTAAAAAGTGGTCTCCCTGTGTAGCTCAGCCCATAGAGCAGGCTGTATATGCCAAACCTGCAGACATCCACCTTGCTTTACCTACCAGGCACTACCACACCTGGCTGTCTCCTATGATATACATCATATAATCACAGCACTAACGGTTGTGGGCAATGTGTGAACATCCATGTGTCAAGAGATGGCATTTAACATAAATCTGCTTTGATGCTACAACACTCATTCCATAAACATACCTATATTTTACAGGTGAACGATTTCTTGCAAAGTAACTCTAAACTTTGTTAGTAATTTCTAACAAAGTAACTTGTGAAAGTGACAGATTAGTACAGTTGAGGTGACTAAGGGGTCATTTGTCTTCGAAAGGAAGACTTCATTGTAATACAACATTCATTAGCAGAAAGGTCAGCATCAGATTTGGGATCCCTTTTAGTCAGTTATTATTGCTGAACTATTCTGATATTTAAACAAAATAGATAAAAAACAGATAAAAACTTCTAAAGATACAGTATGTCACTTCCCTCAAATGTTGGGTCGATATATCACTTTTGATTTTTTGCCCTATAATTTTAATTTTGTGAATATACACTTGTGCCCATTAATTGAATTTGAAAGTTGTAAATTTTTCTTCTGCATTTTTAAACCATTCTGTAAAATCTTCATCACTTTTTTTTTATCTCTTTGAATCATTAAGGGACTTTAAAATTAACCTAATAATAGAAATGCTTCTTCGTAATCACAGGCTCATTTGCTGTAGGACATCGATAAGATAACTCAGAATAGATGCCCCTAATCTGATGTAATAAAGTTATTAAATCATAATTTGAATGTCTTAGTTCACAATGTGACTTTAAGCTCCTGTTAGAGGAAGAAATGGAATAGGAGGAATAGAAGTCTTTGTTGATTTATTAATTTCCTTTTTGGTACAGTGTCAAACCAACCACAAGTTCCTAATTTTTTTCCTAAAACTTAGAGCTCTATATGAATTAGATTTTACCAGAGATAATTTCCTAATGTAGTCCAATGCAACAGGTTATTAGGTGGAAATATATACATTCATACACACACACACACACACATACACACACATATTTGTGAATAGATATGTGAAAATGTATGTATGTGAAATTAAATGGAAAAATTTAAAAACTTTAAAAACCTGAACAAATGAATCTCTTCTTCATCATATAAAGAATTGAATTAATCACCATATAAAAGCATTTTTATTCATTTATGGGATTATTATTGTGAAATCACTTCAGAAATCCTATGTTCCAGAAGCATCATACTTCACTGTACAAATAATTTTCCTGTTATGTTGTGATATATGATAGTTTCTAGTTGTATCTACCTCAACAAGATATCAGAATAAACCTATGAGTTTGAGAAAGCAGATAGGGGCAACTTGTGCATAATGTTCCCAAGCACAAAATTTCAGATTTATCTGAAGTAGCACTAGAAATGGAAAAGACAGAATTTTAAACTCAGTACTACATTTCTCTAATTGTATATCAAATTCTTGAATTACACCCAAAAATTGTAGCTTTGTTTGTGAGTTGGAACTAAGCAACTAAGTACTGTTTTAGGTGACAAAAGAGCTTGTGAAGATGATCCCCATAGCTGAGATGGTGGCAAGATGGGAGCCTGAGACATGAGGACTATGGTTGAGGCTATCCTAGGTTACATATAGAGAATGTGCTTCAAAATCAATCAAAATGAGAAGAATATTTGCAGTTTTCTTTAGGAAAAATAGTGATGAATATTTCTTGATAACCTTATGTCTTCAGTGCACAGCTTAAGTAAATAAAGGGACATAATCACAGATCAACATTTAATTGAAATGATAATTTTGATTCCTATGAAAAATTAATTGAACCTATTTAAAGCTTGTCCATTGTTTCTTAAAAACAAGATTGTGTCATAAATACAAGATTTTCAACTGCATGTCTAATTGTCTTGTTTTTGCATTTAAGCAAATATTAATCACTTGCTACATGTGTCAGACAAGGGGACATTTCTGCATTGTCATTTCAATGTGACTAAGGGCCCTCCCCACTCACCCCCATTTAATTATGAAACTTCTCATTTTTGAAGAGAGGAAAAAGATCAGACCCAGCCCATGTTAAAGACATTCCTTTGGGTGTTTATAAGCTATAATTTCATAAGCAAACAATGACAAGCCCTATGAGGACAATGTTCCAAATATTATCAAAGGACAAGAAGGGCAGATGCACTACCTAAGCGACCGGTTGGATTTAAATTATTTTGTCATACATTTGCTTGTTCTAACTAATACTGAGAATACACAGCACAGCATGTGCTGATGTTTAAATTGCAGTTTTATAACTCTTTGCCCCAAAGCACTCCAACCAAGGGTTGAAATAATGTTTTTGATTTGCCTCTGGGATACAGACATGTCTCATAGGAAGCAAGATGTCTGTCAATGAACATTTTTGCCACCGTGACAACCCTGCCTTCCCATGCTCCCTTGTTTATTGCTGACTGTGCTCTTGTTTCCCTTCAAGGTCTGGCGCACCTGATGATGGGCGACCAAGGTATGGGCTCTGCTCCTTTTCCACTCTGCTTTCAGTGTTTTCTTGTTCTGTAGCTGCTTTCAAACCATCGCTGCAAAGTATGGGCGGATGCTTGGAAATGATGTGGCTGCCAAGGAAATACATAGCTTTGTTCACATTTCCCCCCATGGTTTTATCTGCTTTTATTTGTTGGTTTGATGTTGATTTGCTCCTGTGACTCTTGTCTCCCTCCATCCCTTGCACTGTAACATCTGCAAATAAATAAGACGCAAGAACGGTGGCTGAAATCTCTGCTTTACCTATCAGTGTATGTGGGATGAGTGCTTACAGTAGAGGAAAGCCAAGAGCAGTCAGGAACTAATGTCTGAAAGAGCCAGTCTAACCTGCGCCATTGAGTCCATTCTTCATCCATGCATGGCAGTTTGGGAACGTGCAGACAGCTTTGGCTTTTGGCTTCCAGAGTGCTTATTGTAACATTCCATGCAATCGATACTTTTCTACCTATGGCACTGAGATCCTTCTTTGATGTCATCTTTAAACATGAGCATGGGCTTCCAATCCCTTGCATGTACCTGGCTGTAAAAAGGGCAGAATTCACAGAATGTGCGGACTGCCTTTCCATTATTTGTCTTCAAAACATTGTTTATACTTTCTTGTCTTGTTTAATTTTCAGAGAGCAGTGCATTTACATATATATTCATAAATCTTCTTGTTGTTTTTCTCCTCTTTATTCTCTTTGTCTGGAAACCCTTTCTTCATGGGACCCATTTCATCAAATGCATAGGTAAAAGTAAAGGTACTACATTATTTTGTTTCTTAGTATCATCTGTGTGGATTACAGTGTGTCTAAGTTATGCAAATGTATGTAGACCTTTGGCATTGGTGAAAGGTACTGGGAGGTAGGTATGTGTGTTAATGAATATTTATGAACTTAAGGTAAGAAAGAATCCATCAAAATATTTCTGCTTTGCCCTCTCATCTCCATGTTTTGCTTCATAGACTAATTTTTTCATGTCAGTTACTGACATAATTAGTATATTTAAAAATTATCTATAGGTTGTGATGTCAGTCCACCCAGTATCATTTAATGGTAGTTAAATGATGAGTGTAGTAACCATAATTATATCTTCTTCAAATATTCAACTCTGAATGGGCACATCTGCCCTGTCCATTCTGCCCAATGAAAGCATCATCATAGCACAGCTCCAGGGTTGTACTGCTCTTGTCGCCTGCTAGATCTCTGAGAAGCACATTGATGCCATGGGAGCCACTGTGACAGGGACAGAGAGGCAGATCAAGCTTGCCCTTCCTTTATGCATACTAACTTTAAGAATGTTAATAGCGGCTATATATTCCTGTGTCACTTGGTAAGTCAGGCATGAGTACTCCTTGAAATATATGGGAGAAGAAGCATGTTCAATGTGTTCTTTAGGTTCACCTACTTTGTGTTTAGCATTGTCATTAGAAGGAAGTAAGTGACTCAGCCCTGACAAATGTTTAGAATGGCCTTAATTTGTTTTAAATTGTGTAATAGTTAATGCCCCCTTGGTCTCTAGTTCTAAATCATTACACTTAAATGCAGAAATATGCCTTTTCCTTGAATTCTATGACACTTTCTTATGTGCTAAAAGTTAACATCGTGACTAGGATGAGAACTCACAGCTCTACCCTCTTGCATTTGTATCATCTAGCATGGAACCTTTTCTGCTTCAAAAAAGCATCTGAGCATAAGCCAAACACTAAGTAAGATATGACATCGACATTTGAAGTTGTGAAATAGAGTTTTAAAAACAAATGTTTGATCTCTTAAGCCTGTAGCATACCTGTCTCAACTTTGCCGGTTGGCCATTTCCAATAATACAACTTCATTTTGTTTTGAGTCTTAGTTACTGTGCCAATGTCAGTGCCATCAGCTCTCTCAGAGTTTGTGAGTCATTAGGGTTTATTTCCTAAAGCCTTTGCCTGAGGCTGAATTTCTGTTGACAGCAAACTCTAGTGAGTGTGTCCCCAATGTTCTACATATTGTTCTGTGTATGGATTCAGGTTTTAAGTCGACATGTAGGAAATTGTCTTTTGCTTTCCTGTTAGTAAAACGTGTTTGTATATGTGTATGCATAGATTTGTATAAATGTATGTAAACATAGATTTTGAGTATGTACAATCATCCATCATACGCTGAAAAAGTTACTCTTTTAAAAGTAACTAAATATACTTTTCCAATTATATAACTAGACATATGGAATAGGTCATATTTACATCCAGCTGGTATCTATTGGGTGTAATTAATATTGGGTGTCAATTCAGTTTTACTATGTCAGTCTCAAATGTTTCTGTTGGTATGTATGTGTAACAGACATTTTTTTTTTCATCACTTTCTTATCAAATTTTGTTCCCTGATGAAAAGCTACCAAGGAAAAAGATTTGATTTTCTATTTCATTCATATAAAAAAGATCATTGCTATCAATATTTGACGTTATATGGGGGGATATTTTGAATATCAAAGTTGGTACCACATAATTATTTTAGATATGTAAAGATGAAAAATATACTTCATCATTCTTTCACTGTGAATCGGTTTACCAGATCTGCATTCTGGAGCAGAAAGTACAACTGTGATTATGCCATGGCATCATTCTTAGCCTGTCAACTATCACATGGATAAGTTAGCGCACAGGACAGAGCTTAGTAAGTTTGGCAAGAATCCAGGCCAATGAATTTCTGCCTTGTGTCACTCAGCTAGAAGATCCTAAGATATTGTCTAGAAAGTTCACTTTGTATCTTCCTACATCATCTTAAATACTAGTTGTGCATTGAAAGAATGCTAAATATTAATGCAAAGTGTTAATTAATTAAATAGTAATAAACTAATATCTGTTCAAGTTTTTTAAAAAGATGCTAAATTTGCCCCATGAAAAATAAATGGTTCGAACTGTAAGCTCTTGTTTCTCTCAAATCTTCACATTGCCATGTAATTTTGAAGCATTCTTCTCTACTCCACTCTTCTCTGGCAGAGTGAATTAAGAGCCTTTGAAACGAACCTCTGGAAACTTACATAATTGTGTGCCCGTATCCAGAAGCGAAACTGAATTCAAGAATCTCAGTCATCATTAACAGTTTGATTTCTTTAGTGTGGATTCTTGTTTTGTTTTGTTTTTTTTTTCTTTCTGAATTCCAAGTGCCAAGTTAGAGATAAATGCATTTCATTTAAATAAATTACGTAAAGATGCAAGTGGAAAGGAGAGAGATTTGGATAAACCTTTTCATCCTCCTCCTGATTTCTTCCTCTAGAAGGTAGCGCTGCAGTCCCTTTCTGATGGACCCTTCCCAAGTGGATGTGGACCCTGCCTCTTCCAGGTCATTCAGGGTCTGGAATCTGCAAATATTTCACCATTGGGCTGGAGAGATGGCTCAGAGGTTAAGAGAACTGGCTGCTCTTCCAGAGGTCCTGAGTTCAATTCCCAGCAACCACATGGTGGCTCACAACCATCTGTAATGAGATCTGATGCCCTCTTCTGGCCTGCAAGGACACATGCAGACAGAACACTGTATACATAATAAAGAAATCTTTAAAAACTATTTCACCATTTGGGTATGGCATGAATGATTAAGGCAGAGGGACACATTTTGTATGATGGTAGCATTATGATGAATGAAATAAATGCTTTCTCTTCATGGTCCATCATACTTAGGTTTTTCAGTTGGTTATTCTGTGCCAAACTTTAGAGCTAATAATTTACATGTGTTTTATGATTCCTAAATGGAAATATGTCACTTTTAATTAAACATATGTAAGAACAAACTCCATTTTAATAAGCTATAGCTTTCTCTTTGGAGAGCTCATGCAGTGCCCAGAGTAAGTTTAACTGCTACAGGCTGTAGGTGACCCCAAATAGTTTTAGGGTATTGTTTGTTATTGATTTTACATTTTTTCACTTGAAAATTGTCAAGGGCATTATTTTTAGGATTATTAAAGGTGGTAATTTATTTTACTTTTACTTAGAATCTAAATTTAGCAATTTCCCTAAAAAATCAGTGTTTTCCTCTTCTCCCTCTCCTCTCACTCTCTCTCTTTGTGTGTGTGTGTGTGTGTGTGTGTGTGTGTGTGTGTGTACATGAGTGCACATGTGTGTGCATGCATGTGTGTGTCTTCTTCATGTAACTATCCAGATCATTCCAACAGTTGTTTTTTTTTTCTTAATTTACTTCTTTGGAATTTGTTCTAATAGGTTTCTGAAAGAATGAATGACTCTTAAATGAGGAAAAAAATCAATAAGCTATATATGCAAATCCAGCCATAATTGCTGGTCAATAGCTGAGACTCAGAGGCTAATTATGTAACTTACATATTGGTGCTTTGAAGAAAGGTTTGTATTTTCTTTCATAGCATGTAATTCCTACTGTGCATTTATGTGTCTTCTATTTGATGTTACCTTTTCCTACTAGAGTGGAAGCTCCGTGAGGGCAGGAGGTTCATGCTTCCTTCTTGTTGACCATTATATATTTCCAGGACATTTTTTCTTACTGTATCTTGAATTTGCTATTCTCATGACATCAGTGTATATCTGGACTAGAAGGAGAATGGGTCAAAGTAGAACAAGGAAGTGGTGAAACAGATGAGAAAATTTATCAGGTATCCAGAAGAAACTAGCAAAAGATTATACAAAATGTGTTTGTTTCTTTCTCTAAACTTTCTTTTGTCTTTTAACTTTCATCCCAAAGCTGCTATCTGTCTATCTATCAATATTCATTTTGGCATCATTTCCATTTGTCTTAACATCCCCAGAAGTGGATCTCTAAAGAAACATAAAGTCAAGGTATTATTGTATTTATTCTCATGGTCTTCACATATATAAGAAGAATTACAGCCAGCCGATGGTTTCCGAGAAAAGGAAAATTCATTTTCTCCAGGGATGAGTCCCTGATGTTTTTTGTTTGTTTGTTTGTTTGTTTTTAATGCCACTTTTCTATGAAGAAAAATAACCAAATTTTATTTTACATCTTATTCTATTAATGAGAGAGTAGGTATTTGACTTCCGTGAAATATAGACCTATAGTGTCATATGCTGTTTCTATGATTTCATCCATTATTTTTCTGATTTCCTTAACTCCAGTATAACATGAATTTGGAAAGTTAAGCTGTTAGAAAAGTACAAATGAAGTCTTGTATTATGATATATTTTGTGTCTTATATAAATATAATTCCTACACCACGTGTGTGAAATAATTCTTCACTTGAATCTATCAACTAAACATTTATTATTTGACTATTCATCATCCCTGGTGTTTACAGAAGCCAAAGTTTTATAAGTCAAACTCTGAAATGTGTTTTCACATAGTTTAAAAATTCATTACCTCTATGGTATTACTGACATTTAGGAGTCAAATCAGAATCAACCCTAAGAGAAATCAAAACAAGTCTTCTTAAAATGGATACCTGGATTCCTTAACAATTAACTGACAAGAGCACTCAGTATTGTAGTGTTTGAAACTGTTAGGCCACATCATATTATTCTATTAAACTAACTCTTAAAATGAATTAGATATTATTAGTATGTAGAGCTAAACTTCTTTGTGGCTTTTGTTCTCTTTCATTTATGTTTTAGTCCAGTTGGGTTGCTGTAACAAAATGCCACAGATTAGGTTAGCTTCTAAACAGAAATTCATTTGTCACAGTTCCAGAGCCTGGGAAGGCCAGTGTCAAGGTGTGAGTAAATTTGTTGTTGGGTGAGAGCTGGCAACTAGCTATAGGACACCTTCTTCCTGTGTCCCCAACTGCTGGGATCTTTGGAATATTG